CAATTTCCCCCCCCCCCCCCCCCTTTTATTAAAAACCATTTATATTTTTCTTGTAAAATCCTCCCATACCATCCAAGATATATAGAAGCATATTTGCATGCAAAAAGTTACTTTGGTTAGTTCATTCTAATATCTCAATCCTTAGAATATAGTATTTTATAATTAAAAGTCATTCATCGGTCATTCATGACAATACTTTGCATGACCCGTATCATGCAATCACAATGACTTTTTATTTTTTTATCATTCTATAAAAAATTATTTATAAATATAAAAAAAAATAATAATAATATTCTAACAATCATAATTCAACAACTATAGGGCTGTGAAAACGTATTTTTTTTATTTGCCAGTGGATATTTTTGTATTTTAAACTTTATGTATCTATATTACTATAATACGAAAACACTCCTTGAGAGCTTCTATATGGTAAAAAAATACTTTTTGCGACCGTTACAAACCGTCACAAATAATAAAAAAACAATCGCAAAAGACCTGTTGCGACGGCCTATGTGACGGCAAATGAGGGTCGCAAATGTGGGGGTGACAAATACTTTTGCGATCGCAAAGCAGCAATCGCAAACTATTTGCAACCGCCTAACCTACTTCATCATTTGCCCCTATCCGAACTGAATCATCTTCCTCTAAATGGCTTGGATCACTTATCCTTGCCTGGGCTTGATCACTTCCAGTTGGTTCATCATTTTCAATACCCATATGTGGAATTCCTAGGGCCTCTTTTACCATCCCAACCACATCATCTCTAGTCAGTAAATCCACCATTAATGTTTGGTTTTCATGGTTACAATGTAATTGAACATAGGATTCCCCATGATGAATCCAATTTTTGTACTTTTTAAGAACCCATTGGAAATAAGATGTTCCCTTACAACCTCTCGTGAAAAATTGTATTGATTACTACAAAATCAATGCGGACAACTAATCGATGAACTTTTATCTCTATTGTTGTATGCAAATCTCAAGAAGTTATCAATCTCATTCACGTAATCAACTGACATTCGATTGGGCAAATCAATCCAATTCTTGTCCATCTTTCTATTTCTTTAACTGTTTTTGTACACATCCAAAAAGAATGAATTTGCAAAGTATTATAATAACAAGTGCATGACTCATTGGGACAACTAATCATTGTCATAAAAAATTAGGAGAGAGAGAGAGAGAGAGAGAGAGAGAGTGAGACAGATTTTGAGCATAACTGAATATGAAAAACAGTGGTGCCACAAGCTAGTGGTGTTTGAGGTATAAGATAGATGTCAACAATCTACCATAACTCCCAAAGAATCAAAATCAAAATCAATGTTCACTTAATGCGTTAGATATGAATTTTTCAACCAAAATCATCTACATGCCATACACATTTACTTTCCCACCTCAAGGCTAATATTCACCTTCTTCTAGTTTTCATTTTGTACATTCTATAAATTAGATATGAATTTTTAGACTACAAAATATTTTCTCTATATCTATCTAGTGTCATCCAAAACTCTCTCCCCTCCAGCACTTAATAAATGCTGAAATTCTCCAATTTTCATTTTTTAAAAGTTCTAACACTTATTTCGCCAATTGCTCAGTTTTGCATCAATCAAATAATAAATTGGAGCATGCACAACCATTTCATACATACTTTTTGCTATCATGAAATAAATTCAATTTCATATCGAAAATAGAACAGGTAAGGAAATCAAAATTTATGAGAAGAAGGATATACATACATACATACATACATATGTGTGTGTGTGTGTGTGTGTGTGTCTTCAAATACGAATTACAGTGAGGAAAAATCAATAAATTGGTGAAACCGAAGCTTGTACCTGTAGCAGATTGATTCAAACCAAAGCTTATTTCCAAAATCAGACTACCTGGTAGAAAAATCAATAAATTGACGAAAAAGTGATCGAATTACAGTGAGTTCAGATGAAGAAGTTGAATACGAATTACAGTGAGTTCACTGAGTTCAAGTGACGAAGTAGAGAGATGAAAAAGTTGAAATACAAATGAATGATGTCAAGAGACTCACTGAGAGAGAGATAGAGAGAGAGAGAGAGAGAGAGTTCATACCGTTGGAGAGCTCTTCTTCAGACGACCATGGTGATCTATAGAGCGAAATCAACAGAGGGAAATCAGATTCTCTTCCTCAGACACGATCGAGCGAAATTATATTTGAGGGAAATGAGAGTCTAGGGCAAGTTTTACACGATCAGATTGGGAGAAATGAAGGAAAATATAAATTGGGTTGAGCGGGTTCCCAATAGTGGGCTCACAAGTTTTTGCTTAGGCTGATTTGTCGTTGCAAATAATTTTTTTTTTTTGCGACGGTCAAATAATCAGTCGCAAAAATATAGACGCAAAAAGTAATTTTTCTAGTAGTGTTCCTACTTTTAGTTGGCATGGGTTTTTGTCTATTATCATTAATTGTTTTGTTTTTGGTTATTTTGTTGATGAATTTTCAGCGTGAGTTGAAATTTTAGGCAAAAATAGAAGAATTGAAGCTGAAATTTTAGTCTGATTTGTCCAGGGTTCTTTGAAAATCTTCATCTGAATTTGGGTCTCCTATGGCTAGCATATATATAGTGCATATGAGTAAATTTGGAATAGTTTTTCAGTTTACTACTTCAGTTTTAATGCTGTTTTTATAACTCTACAACCATTTAGAAATCCATATTTCTTTGCAAGATGCATTGTTTTACTTTTCGGACGATCCTATATTGTCTTCTTACATCACAAATTGAGATAACCATGTGTCTTGTAGCCCAGTTGGTATCCAAATGCTGCATCCAAGAGTAAAGTGGATGTTTTTATCTGAAAAGTTTAATGTGATCTATGATGCTCTTATTAAATGAGATGCGAAGAAAACAAAAGAGCACAATTTCAAATTACATGGGGGATGTGATCCCTTCTGTTTTTCTTGGCTGTGACTGTTCTGTCCTTATAGCTGTATAAAAGGTCATAAATATGCATCTTCTTTCTGTTTAGTATATATATATATATATATAATATGTAGCTTTCGAGAGTATGATTATGTTAATGTTCAGACTACAGTCTGGAGTTATCCATTGTTGGAAGCTCACTGGTTTATTTAATGTTTGAGGAAATAATACCCTACAAATTTTAAGAGTTATTACCAATGCTTTCTCATTGCTTTGCATGTTCCGATTCAATCCTTTCATTCCTACATATTTGGTCGTTTTAGGAAGAATTATTGTTATTTATTTTTACCTTATGGCCACTTGTAACTCCATAAGAGGTGCCAACTTGAAATAAGGATGTTGAAAAGAGAACTCTAAGAATCACACTCCTAGAATCCTTAGGCATCACATCTAGGGTCAAAATTTTATCACACAATCCCAAGAAAGCTTCAAAAGCTCTAAAAAGTATCTCCAAACTGATCTCCATTGAATTAGAAGCATTAACATTAGATAATTTCTTCCCCCAGTAGGATTTGACTTCCTCTTTGGAAACTAAGACTTCTTCTTCTTTTTTTTTTTTTGATAAATAATTTGGAGGACTTCTGACTTTTAAAAGCTATCTACGATCAAATAAGACCCATAAATAAATCCCTAGCCCATGACTTGGCGCATACCACAATCCATGGGCTACCCCTACAACTCAAGTACAGCAAATGTGAAAATTACTGAAATACCCCATAAATAATGTAAAAACAAGCATAAGATAAGACCCAATAAGGGTAAACCATAATTATCCTAAGTCCCAAGTGTGTTTGTCTTGTAAGCATTTTCTTGATCTTCTTATGGTTTGATTTGAATCACTTATCATTTCTAATGAACCTCCCTGTGATTTTGATGTTGTGTCTAATCAAGAAGGAATCTCTTTCTTTTGCAGTGCTGCCATCTTTTTCTGGGAATGTTCCAGGAGCACTCAAAGATATATTCCCTTCTGCAAATATTACAAGACTAGGGGACTGGTAATCATTATTCTTGCTCTTTGATGTGCCTACTTTTCGATGATAACTTTTTTTTTTATTCTTTTTCTTTCATGAAGTACTATTATGCTTAAGAAGCTGACACTATGTGATTAAGTTGTTACTAGGTTACTGTCACATGCATGCTACTGTTAATATTATCCCCCAATTCCTATATTGTAAGATTATTTTATCATTTCTTCTTTCATCTTGAATGCTTTCTATTCCAGGTAATTTTACCAATAGAAGAAAAATTAAAATAGAGAAAGAACCCTTCCTTTTTTTTTTTTCTTGTGTTGGATAATAATAGTAGATTAAATAGCATTGACCAATGGTAAGACTACACATATTTTCTTGGGAAAATTGCAGTTCAGTGTAAAAGACCGAAAATAATTACAAATACATGGGGGCTGCAACTTTTGCTGAGAAAAAAACCACAGCAAAAATCCCCCCCCCCCAATCTTTTGGTAAATAGTTTTTGGTCTTTCCACTGTTTTATAATTTGCCCTATTTTAATTAAGTTCCAAAAATGGTCGACATGAGCACGTTGGGAGCTGGCAGGGTGGATACATTTGCTGATAGCAAGTTGGCTTTCATTCATGTGTTCATGGTGAGCCGTGCCAACATCAAGCTAATGTCATGACTACTCAATCTACTTGAACAAAATATCTCCGTCATGTTGAAAATGTACAATAAATTAAATTTTAACACTATTGCAACTTTTAGCTTGTGCTAATTTTGCTTTTGTAGTCTTCTTGAATTTTATGTATATACTCTTTTGTATCTTTTCATTACAAATCATAAGCAGACTTGCTATTTGCTCGTCTGCTGAAATGAGCTTCTTGTGCAATGCTTGAAAACTTCAAACTTTTGATATACTATACAACTTGAAATTTCCATATTTTCTTATCATAGGAACACTGTTGATGGTGATACTCGTTGGTGTTGTACTTTCCTTCTAGATCCTTCTGATCCTTTATTCGTAGAGATTGGGAAGGCTTTTATTAAGCGACAAATCAAAGGTGCGATTCATGTTTCTTAGTCACTCACTTGAAAAAACCATGGTATTCCAAGTTATATCATTACCAACTTTCATATTTTCTACAGTACTTGATGGTTTGAGCGTCAAAATTTATAAATCATGCTAATTGTATGGTAGGGTGGGCAAGCATCCACCCGATCCACCAAAACTGAATGGCCTGAACCAATCTACCACATAATGAACGGTTTCTATGGTCCAAGCGGACGGATGTAGATGCATTTTTCCCAATCTGTCTAAGTTCGGACAAATAGCGGATGGGAGGCCACTCGATCCAAGCTGATCCACCAACACTCCTAAGAAAATGAAGTTATACTTTTATGCTTTGTATGTCAAAAAAAAACTTATTTAGTAAATATATTTGCTATTTATGAAATATGAAAGTTGGGCCTTTATTTTTATTATAAAAAATGAACAATCAAAATTTTTGGGCAAAATAGTAAATAATTATTGGAAAAAGACCTAAAACAATAAAACCCAAACCGCCAAAATAATTTGTAGCATGGGCCGCTCAATCCGCATCCGTTAACTAAGTGGACGGATGCGGATTGATTTTTACCAATCCACCTAAGTTTGGATGGATGGCAAAGTAGAGGCCACCTGACTCAACCTGATACACGAGCACTCTTATTGTATGGCGCTTACCAATTAAAAAAGAAAATTTCAAGTGGTTGAGGTTGCATCCATTCATGTTCTATATATATATATATATTTTTTTTTTGGGAAAAAACTTTTTGATCATAATTTTGGGATATGTACTGATAGAGATGCATGATATACATCCTCATATAATCTTATCTGCAGAGACATATACATGCACTTCTCCTTGTGTAATAAGCAAGCATTCATACATACACATACTTTAAACCCTCAATTTTAATTTTTTCAATTTAAACTCTAATATTTTAATTTACTTTCAATCTAAACCATTAACCTATTTTTCATAAATAAAACAAATGAAAAAAAATATATTTTAATCATTAAACTTAATGTAAGCATATATAAAATGTCTAAAATACTATTTATCATTGAGTTTAATGATTAAAATATATTTTTTCAATCAATTTTACTTAACAAAAATAGACAAATAGATTATGTGGGAGTCGAATATCAGGGAACTCAGATAGGCCGAGTACATATTTACAAAATCAGGATATATATTATATTCGCCCGTCTCGTACGTTCTAAGTGCCGAGTATATTAATCGGCCATGAAGCCAGTTGAGCGGGGGGTCGATTGGAAGTTGGAATACAGCAAAAGGAAGGCCGAATGAACAATCACACGACGGATTAAGAGTGAGCCCTACCCTGAGGACCAGGAGCGTATATAAATAGAAGAACAACAACCAAAGAGAGGTAGGTGAGAACAAGTAAGTTTAACTTGAGATATAAGCAATCAAGAGAGTATACACCGACGTATCCGTCGGAGTACTAATTCTAGCATCCCCAACCGAAGTATTCATTCTTTTTCAAGTGACTGGCTGAGGATCACGAGCGTCTTATAGGACCCAAAGAGTATTTCCAAACCACTTCTCCACAATTGGCGCCGTCTGTGGGAATACGCAACTACATCCATGGCGAGCGTAACAGAAGATCCTCCGATAGTCGCTGATGAAACTACACCGAGAGATGACCTCACTCCAAGAAACATGCTGGGACCGGAGAATGGAAATAAATGGAAGGGAGGTGAAATTTTTGAAAAATATTTAAAAATATCTTCTTTATAGGTTTGGAGTTGAAGGAAATAGGAGGGGATAAAAGAGAGCTGGTTTAGGAAAAGGATGAGTATCAAATCATTAAGAAGGAAATGAGCAGCCTTCACTAAATTAGGCATTTCTCTTTGTACACTTGGAATTTAAATGTGAGGCCACCACCATTGGAAAGTAGACTTCTGGGGCTTCAATTTAGACCTAAGAACCACCTTATACCAAGTCTAAATAAGGGAGATATGCCCATTTGAAGTTAAGCTTAAGAGCAGATTTTGTTGACCCAGCCCGAGACAGCCTTCACTAAATTAGGCATATCTCTTTGTACACTTGGAATTTAAATATCAGGCCACCACCATTGGAAATTTGACTTCTAGGGCTTCAATTTAGACCCAAGAACCACCTTAGACCAAGTCTAAATAAGGGAGATATGCCCATTTGAAGTTAAGCTTAAGAGCAGATTTTGTTGACCCAGCCCGAGACAGCCTTCACTAAATTAGGCATATCTCTTTGTACACTTGGAATTTAAATGTGAGGCCACCACCATTGGAAAGTAGACTTCTGGGGCTTCAATTTAGACCCAAGAACTGCCTAAAACCAAGTCCATATGGCGGAGATATGTCCATTTGAAGTTGGGCTTAAAAGCAGATTTTGTTGATTCGACCCAAAACAACAATAGCCCATTTTTCTTGGTTTTGGTTCGGTTGGGGCAACCCATTTACCTATTTTTTGAGCCATTCAAGTGCATCCACTCATCCTCCATTATACCTAATCATCCTCCATTGTCAAAAAGAGGTTTTGTTTGCATCCATAAAGGAGTATCCCATGCAACCACCTTGAAAATTTGCCCTCCTATCACATTCTTGTCTCCCACCTTGTCTCCCACCTTCTTTTTGACCTTTACTCTCCCTCATTGCCTATATAGAATGATCATATTGTAAGAGAGGAGGAGAACCACGAAATTGAAGAGAAAGGAGTGAGAAAAGGGTGAAAAAAGTGAGAAAAATTGAGTTTTTGAACCAAAAATATTCTTATCTTCCATATACACCTCATACCTTCCATAGCTGCTGAAATTCCTCATTTCCATACACCAAAACCACTCCAAAAATTCTGATATAGCCAAAGATCAATTGCCTCGACCATAAGGAAGAATGTTTAGTGATTGAAAGTGAAAAAAAACTAGAGAGTTAACCACTTTTCATATCACAAACTCCATAAACTCCATAATTTCGAATTAAGGATTTGAGAACACATTTCCTACACTTGAGGGTAATCAAGAGGAAGTTTGGAAATCAAGAAGTTCAATCTTTCTTTGGAAGGTGAATTTTTAATCTTTCATTTTCTTATATTTTGTATCTTATATTTATTTTCTTACTTCTTATTTCATTGTGTTTTGTTATAATCCAAGTAGTTGTTTATCTCATATTTATTTTCTTACTTTATATTTCATAGTATGTTGTTATAATCCTAGTGGTTTGTTTAGCTCATAATTATTTATTTATTTTTATTCGCATACTTTAATTTCATATTAGTTTTGTTGTAATCTTGCATGTTTTACCTCATATTTATTTTTTTCGTGTATTAGTCTCGTATTAGTTCTGTTATAATCTTGCATGTTCTATCTTATATTTGTTTTATTGCTTTAGGTTTATATTGTGAGTTTGCATTTTTTATTTTATTTTATATTTATTTTCTTTTTTAATCTAACCGGTAGTGGTTAGTTGAGCCACCTACATATTTTTTTTGTTTGTTCCTTTCTTGGTTTTGCAACAAGACAGGTTTTGCTTGGCCTAGTTCGCCGGCCGGCCTATTTGGCCGGTCGGTTAGCTTCTTCCGAACAAGATGGCGTAATCTCCCAATATTGACCAATTTCCGCCGGCGGTTCTAAAGAACATGAAGCTTTTATTTTATTTATTTATTTTATTTTGAGTGTATTGTGAGGTTTTTATTTTGTTGTAATATTCTCCTCATCCCTCTCTAATTCGGTTTGTAATTATTCTTTAAAATGTTGTAATAATTCCCCGCCCCGCTTCTTTCCATCCCGTTCTTTTACTTGCTTTCTTTATTTGTACATAAACATCATATTTATTTTTCATCATAGTTATGCTTTGCATCCATGTTTCATGCATCTTGATTCAGCTAAGTTTGCATTTGTGGATTTAATCAATTCCTATGTGATTATGTGCGCTACCTCATGTTCTTGAGATGATTCACATATCATATTTTAGAAGCCGAATCTTTAGTTGCATCTCATGAGTGAATTGCATTAGGATTTTGTATATAAGATCATGCATGTTTTACTACTTTTGTTTGCAGCTTGTTCGTGGGACGTCAAACATGTGAGTTTTTATGCTTTAGCATCCCGTGTGTGTGTGTTTTTCTTACTATGTCTAGCATTCTACCATGAGGCTAGTTGCTTATGTGATATAACTCTATGAATGCCAGTGGATGGGGTTGTGCGCTTAATTTGGAATGATGTTGATTTTCATGCTTGTAAACTCAATTTATTTGGGTTGTACATCGTCAAAACTCTTTCAAAATGCATGATATCAAATTGTTCCAAAATGAATGGCATAGTCTATACTTGTATGCTTCACATAGTAAATTTTAGGATTTATTAACTAATCAGAACATGAACATATAAATAAAATAAAATTCATATCATGGTTAGTAAAGGCCGATCTTTGATCGGGTGAGCGGGGGTGCTCATTATTGACCTTCCCCTCTCATACCTAAGGTTCCGACCAAGGATCCTTGGTTAGACGAACAGTGGCCTTGGCACGAGTCATGGGTTTCTTAATTTTCCCTTCCAAAATATTAGGTGGCGACTCTGAGATCTGATGACGCAGTCCATTTTTGACAAAATTGCAATAAAATAGATTTTCAATAAAAGTTGCCAAATCTGGACTCTCATCTATGTTTCACATTGCACTCATGAGACTAGATCAAAGAGATCTCGGGAGTCCAAACTGTTTAACGCGCGTGGGTACCCCCCGGGCATGTTACACCTGAGAACCAGGAGCGTATATAAATAGAAGAACAACAACCAAAGAGAGGTAGGTGAGAACAAGTAAGTTTAACTTGAGATATAAGCAATCAAGAGAGTATACACTGACGTATCCGTCGGAGTACTAATTCTAGCATCCCCAACCGAAGTATTCATTCCTTTTCAAGTGACTAGCTGAGGATCACGAGCGTCTTATAGGACCCAAAGAGTATTTCCGAACCACTTCTCCACAATTGGCGCTGTCTGTGGGAATACGCAACTACATCCATGGCGAGCGTAATAGAAGATCCTCTGATAGTCG